ATAGAAATGGGAACACCTATGGCACTGGCAGCATAACTAAGGCCAGCTCTAGAAAAAAGCTCGAGAGGGACATTGAACAAGAGAATCCAAACTGGAATTTTAGATAGATTAAAGCTTAGAGTTTTAAGGTTTGGTTCCCATTTTCTTAGTATTAGGGGATTATTATGCACATTCCAAGGGCCATTTTCAATCACCCAATTCATAGCAGATTCAGAAGAAAAAGAGAAGATGAAAAGATTGTTACCGGCAGTACTGACCTGTCATCGGGAACCCTTGAGTGCTTTGCTCCATAACTATTTAAGGTTCTTTGGGTTGTGGAAAATCTAGGAGAAACCCCGAGAAACTGACCCACTAAAGATAGTTTCCATTCGGAGATACCGGCTTCTAAGATTTCAGAAGGTGGGAGAATGGTCGGTTTACCTTCGAGAGATTTTGGTGGAAAGAAATCAAGATCGTGGCCTTCTGAGCAGCCGAATAACTTTCTCCAGTCCATTTGTGGATGTGCAGCTCTCGTAGAAAGTAAGGAACTGTGAAAAAGAATGAAATACGTAGTCGTAGCAGAAGGAATTCACCGGAAAGACAGTCGGAAATCTCAGATTACGTTACGCCCGCTAACGTGCACCCAGAGAATCCTATTATCGTGCGCCCCAACGGTTAGACTACAAAATAATTTCCAGCATCACTAAGACTATAAAAATTCAAATCTCCAAAGTCAAATCTAATTATTATACACTCCTTAATAAATGCACCCGAAATTGAGTCACATAATTCTTATTATTATCATTCATAATTACCAATGATAATAACATATATATCTTTCTTATAAAGTATTAATCTAAAAATGTGCCCTTAAACATTTCTAAATTATTTGTTACCTCGCAAAACATGAGAGTTAGTTGTTGTACACAATTTCAAACTAAGGGTCAGTCTATTTTATGTAAAAAAAAAATGTTTCCCTCATTTTTTAAGGATAACATTTTGGTTAATGTAATTTATTTTCGTGATCAATTAATTTTATTTTTATATTTTCTATAAAATGAGTTGCCGTCTAATCTTTTGTAAGTCGTTTTTCAAACCTATTATCTTAAACCATTAATTTTTTTATATATTTAATATTAATATAATATTTTAATATCATTTTAATAAAATTATTAAGTATTTGAAATATATTTATTAATAATTTAAACAATATAATATTATATTTTCAATATTATAATAATATATTCAATTATATTATAATAATGTATAATATTATATTCTTATTTTAACAAGTTATTAATATAATTAAAAATATATATTATTTTACTAATATAATATACTTATTTTAATAAATAACTAAAATACTTTATAATATACTTATTTAGTAAATGATCTGGAAACTTTGCTCCTTGCTCCTGTTTGAATCACCTCCCCGAGAGAGTCAAATATGTAAAAATACTAAAAAGATGAATAAGAGAAAGAAAAGGAATACAACTACTGTTCGACAAAGCACATGTGGCAACCCGTTTGGCCAATAGCTACCGGCACTATCGTCCTAATAAACAAGGAGAAAAAGAGAAGGAAAAAAAACTTTATTGAGATGAATCCAATATTAAAATATATTAATAATTACATAATATCGTAATATACGTTATAATATTAGTAGTTATCTATGTTTTATTATATCATTAAATATTATATATTTAGATACAAAAAATCATTAATATTTTATTTATTTTTTATTCTTTTAAAATTAAATTTGGAAATGATTTCTTAATTTTAAAAAATACATTTGACTATTTTTTTATTTTTGGTTTAAGATTCAGGATATAAATTTGTAATGAATTATGTTGAGTTTGGGTAATAATCAGTATATCAATTTGGGCTTTGGCTTGTGTCCGTATGTTTGGTTTGAGTTTAGCAATAAATATTCCAGAATATGTGTTTGGATTGATTTTACAATATTAGATTTTAAAATTTTTATAAAAAAATACAAAAATATTCAAAATAATAATATATAATAAAAGATAAAGGTTTTTTCCAAAAAAGAGTTAATTGTATCACAGTCCTCAAATTATAATTCTTATTTTAAATTGGTCCCTAAACTTTTAAACATCATAATTTCATCCCTAAATGATGATTATCGTTCTAAATTAGTCCTCAAACTTTTTAGAATTTAAGTTTCATCCCCAAACTATAACATTCATTCTAAATTAGTCTTCAAACTTTTTGAACATTTCAATCTCATCCCAAACTATATGTATATATTAATCACATCACTTTTTAATAAAATCGTTATGACAAGTTATATAATTGTATGTTTGAAAGGAAAAAAAATAAAATTTAGGTTAAACTATGATTGAAACTAAGTACATATTTGGATGAATTTGGAGATGAAATTGAAAGATATAAAAGTTTAAGGACCAATTTAGAATGATGGACATAATTTGGGGATGACATTGAAATGCTCAAAAGTTTAAGGACTAATTTAAAATGAGAGTCATAATTTAAGGATTAAATTAGAATGTTCAAAAGTTTAAGAATCAATTTAAAGTAAAGATAATATGCAATTAACTTGAAAAAATAAATGTTCAAAAGTTTAAGAATCAATTTAAAGTAAAGATAATATGCAATTAACTTGAAAAAAATAAAGGTTATTTTTTCCCAAAATTCTACTTGTATACACATTATAAATAATAACTCGAATATAAAAAAATCATATATGTATCACATGAAAAGAACTTTCAGTTATGTTGTATAGATTTTCTCTAGTATGTAAAAGCTATATATATATTTTTTCTTTTCATAAGATGAATTTATATTGTATCATCGTTGTCGGAAAGTAAAATTAATTATTAGATTTAAAATATCTTTTTATAATTTATAAAATATTAAATTTATGTAGATATATCTGAACTCGTCTGACTGTATCCTAATAAAATTTAAAAAGTTTAAATAAAAAATGTTGAGTTAAAAAAAATTAAATTCAAAGAGAACACAATTTCTTCATCCACTCATTTGCCAGCATACCCGTATTTATTTTTAGGATTTATCCATGGGGATTATTTTGTGTCATTGACATTATTTTTATAAATTTATATAGTGGGATATAGGAAAATTCTACAATGTTCCACGAGTACCGATGAACAATATTAATTTAATTTATAAAACTTAAAATTATAAAGTATACAACGCGTAATTATAAATGAGTTAAAAATCTAAACATAAATTATTTAAAATAAAATATTAATTACATTATTTTTTATAGGATAAACTACCCATTTAGTACATAAAGTGATAACTTTTTTATTTTTTTAAATTGTCATGTCAACGTTAAATAATATATTTTTATTTAATCAATAGGGTGATGACACGTGTCACCACCCTATTGAAATAAAATTAATTTAATTGTGCCTAGCGTGAGAATTGAAACAACACCCCTTTTGGAGGAGAGGAAAAGGCTTTGCCACTGGGCTAAGCAAGGTAATTATTATTCATTCACCATAAAATATATTTAATTTAGACTCTATTATCACTACAAAACAATATATTTTAATTAAAATTAGGACTCAAACTTAGGACTTCTCCCAAAAAAATAGTGCACAAATCATTAAACTAGTCTATAAAATTAATTACATTAGATCAATTTTATATTTTTAATTTATATAATTGTTTAATCAAAGACTAAATTATTTAAAAATGAAAAGCATTTTTAGTATAAACTATATAAAACATTAAATCATTAAAATAAACACTATTTTTGAACTTCATAAATCCTCTATTAATTTAATATTAATTAAATAAATATAAAACTTTAAATTATTTACGATAAAAATAATTTTTAATAATTATTTAATTTATATTTATATTATATGGTCTTAAAAAATATTTTAAATTTCATTTTTAAAATAATTTAATATTGATTTTTTAAAACATATATTAATTTTTAATTAAGCATTTTGGTTATAATGAAAAATGTTTTGTACTTTTAAATAATTTAATATTTAATTAAAATTTATTATTTTGCGGTGCTAATGGAAAATAATTAAATATAGGTTGGTAACAAAACCTACCGAATAAGTAATAAATTCTTAGATACAAAATCTTTAAAAATGTTAATGAAAATGGTAAGAATATTCAACACGCGCGATTACGATATTTAGGATAGTGTCAAAAACAAGATTATATCACAACGTCGATCCACATATAATTAGATTAAATATTTTTCTGACATGTGTTGTTCTAATATCACAATTTTTAATAAAATATACAGATATTCAGATAAATATTTTAATGAATTACTTTAAATTCAAATATCTTTTAAATTTAATAAATATGTTAAAAATATCATTTATGTTGGTAAACAAAATTGCTTGACAAAAAATATTAATCATGGACTTAGTCTCCCTAATTGCATTTTCATCGAAATTTCCTGATTATTTTTTATCTACAATTAATTACTTTATATTATACGAATGTCAATTACTTAACACGGTGAACCTTTTTTTAGTCAATTTATTTCCACAAATGCCAAAAGTCCCGTAGCAAAACCGTGGTAAGTTGACGAAATAAAACACCTACTTGTAATTTACAATTTAATTTCTTTTCAATTATTTAATTTAAGGGTAAACTACATTAGATGCCACCAAACTTTAGATGTTATATAATTATACCACCAAACTTTTAATTTTATCAATTATAGTACTAAACTTTGATTTTTGTTTCAATTATACCATTGAGCAATTAAATCATTAACAAAACGATGGCGTGGATGATGGGTTCCGCCGTAGACACCTCAATAAAATGACATCATTTTGATCTGGCTGTTAAAGATTTAACGGTCTAGTTGTATAATTGAAACGAAAATCAAAGTTTAGTACAATAATTGGCAAAATTGAAAGTTTAATGGTATAAACTATACAATGACTAAAGTTTAAAGGTATATGGTGTAGTTGACCCTTAATTTAATTACACTTTTGCCGTGCCTTTTTCGGTATTTATACTAACGTCTTTTTTATGACAACAATCGTTAGATCTATCGTCTTCTGCTCAAAATTTGAACTGTTTATCTCTATATTTGTTTGATTTCAATGGGGTATCGTACAAGGCTTAGCGCTGTGTTCGGTCTCTTGAAAGACAAGGGTTCAATGATCAAAACAACCTTGTCAACAAAGCGGCACAAAGCTTCTGTTCGTCGCGTCATTCTACGCGCCACCACCCACGGCTCCTACGTTCCACCTGCAGATCACCGAATCGCCGCCGTTATCGCCCTCGGACACGGTTCACGTGCCACCGCGTGCACATGTATCCAAGCCGTCATGGACCGACTACACCGCACCAGGAATTCAACGGTTGCTCTGAAATGCCTCTACACGATCCATAACATTATAGGGAAAGGGTCATATATCTTAAAAGATCAGCTCGCGATGTACCCTTCGTTTGGGGGTCGGAATTTTCTCAATTTGTCGACGTTCCGAGACGATTCCGATCCGGAAGCAATCGAAATGTCGGCGTGGGTCCGGTGGTACGCCGGAATGTTGGAACAAAATTTGATGGTTTCGAGGATGTTAGGCTATCACCTTAATTCTCCTCCACGGTCCAAGAATCGAAATAAGATATTGGACTCGGAATTACTGAAGGAAATTGAAGTTCTTATTAATTTTGCCGATCATTTAAGTACTGTGCCCGACTCGCTTTATCTTCAACGGGAGAGCTTGGTGTACGAGTCTGTGAGATTGGTTAGCGAAGATTATAGATTAGTCCAACGTGAAATCTTTGTCCGAGTTGCGGAACTGGGAGCGAGGACAACGATTCTGAGTTTGAATGAGTGCACTGAGTTTCTGAGTTCCATAAACAGGTTGGATGGTTGCAAGGAGAGGGTATCTTTGTTGTTGGTGAACAGAAACAGGAACGATGATTTGTGGGATTTGATTAAGGGAACCAAGGAGAATCTGGTCGCGACGATGAAAAAGGAGGAAGAAGGGAAAATGGTGGTGACTGCGGTGGGGAATGAGTCGAGAAAGTTGACTGGGTTTAGCGAGTTGTATCGGTTGGCGTCTCGGGGGAGGTGGATTGAGTTTTGACTTTAGTCAGTTTCAGGCCCCAAATGTTTTGTGCCGTTGTGATTACTTTTGTTTTTGGGTTCTTTTCCCCCTTGAGTAGTGTACATAATCATTTGAGTTGTCCTATATTTGATTTGATTAATGCAATTTATTAAAGGATTTTTTTATTTTTTTAGTAGGATGATTCTCTTTCTATTCATGACTAGCACTCTTAGGGTGTGTTGGTTGGGGAATGTGAGATTCCCATGGGAATGGAATTCATATTCTCCCGTTTGGTTGGCCGGGAATGTCATTCCCGGTAATCTTACATTATCAATAGTGAATTTTTGGGGTATATTACCGGAAATGTCATTACCTCCATTTCCTTAGGTATTGTTGGATTACCAGCGTTTTGGACTAAAATGCCCTTAAAAATTTTTTTCTTTAAAAAAATATTCTTATTCTTTCATTGAATAATAAAAATTCTACGAAGGTTCAATTACAAATTTATCCTTAAACTATTTTAAATTTACAAAAAAAAGTCTATAATTAAAATTTTATATGAAGTTCAGGGGTTAAAATAAAATTTTACCATTTTATTAAACCTTTTTTATATTTTCAATTTTGTAAAAAAAAATTATATAAATTTTATGAATTTAATTTTTTTAAAGAAAATATATAAATATTTTTCAACTTGTTAAAAAAACAAATATATAATAAGGACAATTTGGTAAAATATACATTCCAATAATCTTTTATTCCTTTAACCAAACACGGTAATCTTACATTCCTACTAAACCAACCAAACACAAAACACAACATTCCCAGTAATCCTATTCCCTGATAATCTTTTATTCCCACTGGTAATCTTACATTCCATGAACCAAACGCACCCTTAGGGGAATTCTAAGGAATGATGTTTAATATAAAGTTAAAAAATTACGCAATACTTTTTTTAATTTTTTTAAATAAAATTGGTTTAGTGGAACTGAAAATGTTAATTTATTTATAATATATTAGGTTATAATTATTTTAAAACAACTTAAAATGATGTAACCGAAAAACCAATCTTACGGGTTGAATGCAGAATATAAAATTTTATAAAGCGGAACCTAAATAGTTATCACTGTAGTAGCATAGGTTATACCTAAATGTTATAAACGGTAAAAAAATAAGTTATAAACAGTAAATATTATGAATATTACTAACATTTTTTGTAGCGCCTAAAATGTTACCAGAGTTTAAGCTGATGGGGCCTTAGACATTACTATGATAAGAAAATAAGTTATAAGCTAAAAATGTAAGAAAAACAATTGTGCTTAAAAATGTCATGGTTCACTTCTGAAATGTTAACATTTTTATTAATAAAATGGGTTGTGTTGAAAATATCATGGTTCACTAAGAAAGATGTTCCAATATGGAATGTTAATATTTTTTATTAATAAAATGAGTTGCGCACAAGAATGTCATAGTTCACTATGAAATAGATTGTGATATGGAATGTTAATATTTTTATTAATAAAATGGATTGCGCCCAAGAATGACATGGTTTATTAAGAAATAGATTGCGATTTAGAATGTTAATATTTTATTAATAAAATCAATTTCACCCAAGAATATCATAGTTCACTAAGAAATAGGTTGTTATATGGAATGCTAATATTTTTATTAATAAAATGGGACGTGCACAAGAATAATATGGTTCACTAAGAAAGCAAGTTGCTATCTAGAATCCTAATATTTCTATTATAAAATTTGAAAGTATGGATACTTTTCTAAAAGTATCAATATTTTCGAATTTAAAGAAAAACATAAAAAATGAGAAGGTTGTAAAGTATTGATACTTTTCCAAAACTATCGATACTATTAAATTCGAAAGTTAAAATATCATTTTCATGTTTTTTTAATTCGAAAGTATGAATATTTTTTCAAAAGTATCGATACTTTCGAATTTAAAGAAAAAATGAAAATTAGAAGGCTGCAAAATAAATTTGAAAGTTAAAATATCATTTTCCATGTTTTTTTTAAAATTCAGAAGTATCACTACTTTTAAATTTGAAAATTAAAATATCACTTGTCATATTTTTTTTAAATTCAAAACTATGAATATTTTTGGTAAAAGTATCGATACTTTCAAATTTAAAGAAAAATATGGAAAATGAGAAGGTTGCAAAGTATCAATATTTTTCCACAAATATCAATACTTTCAAAAAAAATTATAAATATTCATAACATTTTAAGCTTTTAACTTATTTTTTTATACTTATGATAACGTAGCAGGTAGAACCTTTTTTTTAATGTCATATGTTTAAGTTATAAGTATAAAACTGTTTATATGATGCAAAAGTAAGACAAAACATGTGTTTAATGATAACGTAGTAGGTAGAGCCTTTTTTATGTCAACCTTTTAAGTTATAAGTATGAAATCGTTTATAATATGCCAAAGTAAGACAAAACAAGTTGCTCATGATAACGTATTAGATAACATTTTTTTAATGTTAACCATTTAAATTATAAGTATGAAACTGTTTATATTATGCAAAAGTAAGACAAAACATGTTGCTCATTATAACGTACTAGTTAACGCCTTTTTTTAAATGTTAATCGTCTAAGTTATAAGTATGAAAACGTTTATATTATGTAAAAGTAAGACAAAACATGTTTTTCATGATAATATAATAGGTAACACATTTTGTAAAATCCCAAAAACCATGTTAGTGACTAAATTATAAGATTTTGAAATTTTGGGTCTAATTTAGAAAAATTGAAAAGTTCAGGGACTTAATTGAAATATATTGGTGTTGGATTAAATAGAAAAGAAGGAAAGAATGAAAGACATATTAATAATTTGATAAGTAAATGAATTAAATATTCATCAGAGATGATTATATAACACGTGGAAAAGGAAAAGGTGAGTAAAAGGAATCCAGAAATTTCTCTTTTGTTTCATCTCTCTTTTCTTCCTTCTTCCTCCATAAGTGTCCTAGTAAAGGTAAGAAATTTTTAGTTAGTTATTTCTTGAAATTTATGAATGGTTTGATTGTTGGAGTACTATGAAAGATTATGGAAACTTAAAGGGAGGTAAAACTAAAAGAATTGGAAGTTATGTAGGATTGAACATAAGAGGTTTTTAAGTGAAATTGTGGAAATGAGTTAGTAAATGAGTTTTGAAATGAAATTTGACTTGTCATATACTGGAATGAGAAATCTAAAGTGTTAGAAATGGATTTAGAACATGTTGAATAATTTGTATGATTTTTGGTTCTAAGTGTTCTATGAGAATATTTGGATGTCAAAATGTATTAAAGTTTTATAAGTAGTTACGGATAAGTGTAGTTAAGTTATATGTTGGAAAGGAGTTCAAAATGAAAAAATAAGCAATATTTGAGTTGGGTTATCGATACTGAATGAACATTACTGATACCATAAGATAAAAGTTAATCAATCCTTTATAGGGTATCGATACCGAAGTGATAGTATCGGTACCATGGGTATCGATACTAATATATTTATAGGTATCGGTACCATTTTTAGAATGAATTACAGAATCAAGAATAGGTATCGATACTGAAGTATAGTATCAATACCACGATAGAGAAGTATCGATACTGTACCTTGAGTATCGATACTAGTCAAATGGAATTAATGAATCAAGTGTCTTTTCGAGATTCAGTCTTGATAATTTTTAGTAGTGATTCAAATTACGATATTTATATGGATTGTATATTCGTGTAGATACCGAATGAATGCCAAGTCTGGGAAAGTCGACAAATAGAAGTTTACCAAGAGATGGATAGGAGAATTGCTTGGAATAGCGAGGCTAAGGTGAGTGCATGATATTATGTATATGTTATTTTATGGAAATAAGACTTGCAATGAGTCTATTTTCCATATAAAACTACATGAGTACATGAATACAAGTATGTTATTGATATGATGATTATGTGTACATGAGTTCATGTATGTCTAGATGTTAAGTGCATTTTTATACATGATCTACGTGAATGCATGTCTATGTGATAAATTATGTGAATTGATATAATTGACTTATATGATTAAAGGGAAAATGAGATAAGTTATGTGACTATGAGCTATATGAGTACATATTTGTGTGATATGATCTATGTGATTAAGTGAACATATGACAAGCTAAGTGAAATTGAACTAAGTGATTACATGAACTATAATATAAGAATGGGACATGATCTATGTGATAACAAGCTATGAGATTACATGCCTATGTGATATAAGATTAAGTGAACATATGATATAAGTTATGTGATACTGAACCATGTGAATATCTGAAAACATAAAAGATATAAATGGTAAAGCCCATGTTATGTGATATTAGAGCTGAGGGTATAATTGGCATGCTAAGAGTCGAGGATTCTACGCGGTTGATGTAAGACACTTGTCCCTTAACAAATTGATTGTGGATCTAGGAAGGAAGCAAACAACCTAAATAAGTGAATGGCTCAAAAGAGATTGTTAAGGTGGTAAATGTATGGTGAATAGGTGGGTTGCTTAAAATAAGATATGGAAGCGGAAGATGGTTGATATGGCTATGGTGATGGCTTATGAAATAAAGGAATAGTTGTGAGGATAGTATCTTGAAGAAGTCTCAAAGAAGAACCAATGCTATAGAGACCAAAGACCCAGACTTTATATTGCTTCTTCAAGGGGTGGTATTAAGTACTTTGACCCACTAGTTATATGAACTAGGAACGAGAAGTATCAAGGTGAAAAGAAAGGGGTTGATGCCACAAGTATAAAATACTTGATAAGTCGATAAAAGTCACCAGGACTTAAGAAATAGAATAATCTCACTTATATTAATCAAAATGGTCTGATTACAAATGAAATAGGAAAGCCTATTTATAGTTTTTGAAGGGACTTGGCCGAATAGGTTCATGTTGGTTCGGCCAGCCCTTGTACCTTCCTAAAATGACATGATTTTTAATGAAAAAACAAGACTTTAATGAAAATACATGCTCTTGGCCGAATGGTTATGTGTTGGTTCGGCCATAAGGATGATTTGAATATTTTTTGGAAGTTATTTGGGTGCCAAAATGAAGAGGAAAGAGTCTTTGGCCGAATAGGAAGCATCCATTGGTGTTTTGGCGCCAATTTGATGTCATATGGAGTGCACATGCTTGAATGATTCACATGGCAGCCTACAT